ATTATGAATAACATATTTTTTCTCATATTCAAAATGGTTTTAATCCTTTGCTCATAGACCAAATGAGAGACATGATGTTCAAAAATATTTCTTCAGGGAGGTATATATAGACCTTATTTGGTGCCTTCATCTTTTAGCTAGGTAGGTGAATCAATTTTGTGTTAGTTATCAGAAGGATTGAGATGTTTTTATAAGATTTTCTCCCTGCACATAAAAATTCAGGTACCTTATGTGATCCTTTAAGACTTCCATCAATGAGTCTCCATGCGAACATAGAATAATTAATGTTCTCTAAGCTCCATCTTTGGATAGTAAAACCTCCAAATAGAGTCAAACATTTCAAGAGTGCAGTTGCCTAATTTTGTAATTTTTTTCAAAAATAGATCCTGGTACTAGGATGATATTTCATCTTTCATGTTACAGTCTCTCATTCATCTAACTCTTATTTGTGTTCTAGAGATGAAGGATAGAATGATGAAACCTTTTCTTCTGCGTGTGGATTTCTATGACAATATATAAAACTGAAACTTGACATAGATACAAAAGACTCTGGGATTTGCTTTTGTATTACGAAAAAGTGCTTTGGTTATCTGAATAAATTATTATCTTAATTGTTTACGATTATTAGAAATTGTATTTTAAGAACTGATGGTTTTGTGTTATTTTTAATGTCTCTTTAGATGTGTAAGTATTGCTTGTTTCTAGATTTTAATTTGTTTGTGTAAGCTATTGCAAGTTACATGGATAGTGGAAAATATACAGGATCATTTATGCATTTATTTGCACGATTTGTTTAAGAAAGCTCATGTAGTCTATTACAGGCTTGTATATGCACTCATCAATATGGTTTTGGAAATGTTCCTTCAATGGATTGAAATTTATAAAATGTAGGCATGTGCTAAAATTGGAAACTAATCTGTATATAATTTTTACTCATGTGACCTATAATTGACACACTATAGTTTATGCCCTTTGTTGGGGAATCAACTAAATGAGTAATTTAGTCATTACCTAATTGCCATTTACTATGAAGAATATAATTTCTCCAATCATCTTGATGCTTTTAGTAGTTCAAGTGGTTCAATTCATTCAACTCGAATCTATATTTTTGATTTACTTTAATTTTAGACTCTAGAACTTATAGCTTCTTACCCTATTTGATAGTGAAAATATTTTCTTTTACATCTCATAATATTTTCTTTATTGATACAAAAATAGTATGTATATACAAAAAGAAGTGTCCTACTTTGAATATTAACTTTCCAAAATAGTAATTTTGCAATGCTCTAGTAATCATCAAAGTCTATTAGTGTCATTGATAAATCTTCATTATCATGAGTTAATAATTAGTAAGTAATATATTTTGAGTCTTAACTCATGATAAATAGACTTATATTTGTTTTAAATTGTGAAAAATGGTTTTCAATTGATTAAAATAAATTGTGAAATAGCCTTAACTCTATTTTCATCTGATTCACGTTCATCGGGCACTGACGTCATCCTAATGTCCCCACCCTTATTTTCCCTTTTTGTGAATTTTAAATATATTTCATTTTTATTTCTTAATATAAAATTCATATAAAATTGTATTCTTTGAGGAAAATTTTGAACAATTATTTGATATTATATTACATCCTTATAAATCATCTGAAAAATTATCACTATTTGTAGAAGTTTATTGAATTATAATTAATATATTTGTTCAGAAATACTTCTAAATATTCAAAAATTAGTATTTTCTAGTTTTATAAATTTTAAATTTGCATGATTTATTATACAACAACTAAGTCATGTCAATCATTTTGGTAATAGATTTAGAGAGGTATTCATCATCATTCTTAATTCAATAATTTTTCTTTAATTGCTTACTATGTTCGATAATGGTATCAGACTCCCAGCCCACTAGGGCCCATTATCTATCTCTCTCTTCTCATCTCCCTTCATTCTTCTCTTCTATATAATCTCATGTACTCCTCTTCTTCATTAGAGAAGGATTATGAATTCCAAGATTTTCCTCTCTCATGTCAACATACTAGAATGAAGGCCCTTATGTTTTCTTTTTTCCCAATAATTTATTTAGATGATTGTCTTCTTTCAATAAGGATTAGACTTTCATTTTTAGAATATAGGCTGATGTTTTATTTTCTTCAAGTGCATACAATGATGTTCTTCCACCCCTACAAATAGTGTTGTGATGACACTTCAATTTTTTTGTTAGTGTAGAGAAGATTCTATGTTTTAAGGAAATGTCAATTTTGAATGTCAAGACTAATACGTAAGATCTTGTTAAGTAAATTCTTTTGTTATATTGTAATGTGCACTTATCATTGTATTTAAATACCCATTATCTAATAATATTGAAAACTAAAACTTAATAAGATATTAGTATAGATGTAAGTCTCACATTGAACATAGAGAGATTGATTAGTTTATATGAAAAACCAATTTAATTTATATATAGAGTGATTTTAATAATTTATTATTATTTAATAAAAAGAATAGAATAGAAAGGTGAAGTGTGAAGAAGAAAAAAAATGAAGAAGGGAATGAGAGAAAGAGAGAGAAGAGAGAAGTGGAGAAAGAGAGGGAGATAGAGGGAGAGATCTCATGAGAGACAAAAAGAGAAGAAGAGGTCTCACAAGAGAAAGAAAGAAAGAGAAATAAGACAAAAATAAAGAGAGAGAGAAATATGGTTAACTTATTTTATAGTTACCATGATTTTCAGATGAATGTGTGCTCAAGAATTCACCCACATGACCTAAGGTCAAGTCTGAATGCCTCCACCAATTTAACACTTCAATGCTCATTAATCAACTTTTAATTTTACTGATTTTACATTCAAAAATAGAAAAATATTCATTATTCATATAATGTTGAGAACATGAATACTTCAAAATTCGACTATGAAAATCAACAAAAAATAACTTGAGCATGATCTTAGCTTGATCTCAAATGAATTTTAGATGATTCAAAAAAAGAACAAAAATCATTCATTTAGAATTTGTATGGGGAAGTGAAGAAGTAAGAATTCATTGTTTTGTGTGCTAGTAGGATTCATTAGATCATTCATTGGCATTCATACTCTATTTTGGATGGGGAAGTGAAGAGGCAAGAAATCCTTGTTTTCTAGAGATTATTGAGATTTGTAGGGACAATGATCCAAAAGAAGTTCCAAGAAAAAAGTTCTTGGAACTCAATAGGTCACTATAATAGCAATCATATTTTCTCTCTCTCCTTTCATCTTTTTCCTAATCTGAACTTTATTTTACCTTTATTTTTCCTTTATTATTGTAATTTCTTCTACCTCTTTGCTGGAGCAGGTCTTGAGTAATCTATCAATCCTCATCATGGGCACATATCAAATTCAAAAGATTTAGAGCTCAAACACTAAGGAAGATTTAAAGCACAAAGCAGATTACGTTTTTTCTTTATTTTTTTCTATTTCAATAAAATGTCTAGAATGAAAAGATATTGAGATTGACCATCATCTTTATAAATGAGGTAAATTTTGGTGAATACCTAAATTCGTCAAAAATTATTTTTAATTCTTGCTTTAGATTTGGCTAAGTATTTAAAATTTGATCATTTTGATAACAATGACCAAAGTGATATTAATTTCTTTGCTCAACATTTTCAAGTAAATCCAATGCTTAGGTGATGTTTGTTAGAAAAATCTAGTTTTGTATCAAATGAATGTAAAAGGTGTATTTTTAAATGGAAATATTAGAAAGGTAATATATGTAAGTCTACCACTTAGTTTTCTGAATTCATAATATCTTAAATAATATTTAAAATTCTTGAATATATTAATAAAGATTGAAAGCAAGTTCTTAGAGCATGATATGAGAGGCTAATATCTTTTTTATTAAAAAATAATTCTTAGGGGAAACATTTTATTTAACAAAGTAAAATAAAATATATACTTATTGTTCAAGTGTATATAGATGACATAGTTCTTAGATTTCTGAATGAAAAATTATTTAAATATTTTTGAATTTCATGAAAGATGAGTTATAGATGAGCATGATGAATGAACTTAGTTATTTTCTTAGTTTAGAAATGAAATAATTGAAAGATTTAAATTTTATTTCTCAATTATACTATGCAAAGTAACAATTAGAGGAAGAATATTTTTACAGAGGGGAGAAAAAAGAAATTGATGTGTACTTATCATTGTGTTTAAATGCCCATTATCTAATAATATTTATAACTAAGACTTAACAAAATATTAGTATAGATGTAAGTCTTAGGTCAAACACAAAAAGATTGATGATGACGAGTGGGACTGATAAGTCTTCATTATCATGAGTTAATAATTAGTAAATAATATAGTTTTAGCCTTAACTCATTATAAATAGACTTATATTTGTGTTAAAGAATGATTTTTGGTTTTCAATTGATTAACGTGAATTTTTGGGTAATTATGTGATTTTATACGATTTTTACAGTCTTACTTTTGAGATAAATGAAGAATAAGAAATAAAAGTAAAAATATTGCAAAAATGGGGGGACCCGCCGGCCAGCCGTGCCCACAAGCGGGTCGGAAGCGCAGTCGGGGAGTAAGCCGCGAGCAGGGGCTCGAGCGGCTTGGCTTGGGGACCGACAGGGCACGCGTATGCCACTCCCCTTCCACGTCACCGGTGGCCAGTCAGCTGTGGGGCAAGGAGTGGTCGTGCATGCGAGAGAAGGGACTTTGCTGACAAAGCTAGCATTACTATATACTCGCCTGAAAAATCGGCATACAACCGATGTGGGACTAAACCACCATCACACCTTCCTCAGAAGAGGCGGGCGATCGGCGTAGGTTCGAATCCTCCCAGAGTCAAAATTCATATATTTTTATCTGATTATCGCGACTTTCCTGCAGATCGCCGGTGAAGGATTAAGCAACGAGAATCGTTGAATCATCGGCGAAAATCTCGTCAACGCGATTCGCGGAGCATTGCTACTAAAATTGTTGAACGATTCGCGATAAAAGGATCGCGAATCCATTGAGTAAATCATCTCCGATTGATCGACGAACAAGCCGTCGTCGAGAAGAGGACGATCCACCGGGAGACCAGTCGCCACCTCTTGAGAGCATACCAGATGCGATGAAGAGCCTCCTCTTGCTGCGCGGACCTGAGGATGAAGCTCCTTGACATGCGCCCCACCTCCATCCAGCTCCTCTCTGTCGGGTGACAGCCGGAGAGCCGCAAAGTCGCCGTTTTTCTGCTCCGCCGGGTGACAGCTGCCAGAGACGATTCAATGACCCACTTTATTGATCTCTAGACTTTGCGAGAAGATCTAGAGATTGCCCACGTCGTCTTTGTCCAAGGAGAGCCTTCGAGGCTGTGGACACTGCACGACGACCCTCTCGAACGCTCAGGATTCCGATGCATCGTCGACGCATCGCCGTCGCGACGCCAGAACTCTATTTTCCTCCTTTCAATTTAATTTATGCTTCATTTAGTGATACTTTGTGTGATTTTAATTTACCAAACTATATTTTGTTCAATTACGATTCTTCCAGCTTTTACAGATCTTAATTTGATTAATTAAGTCGTCTGTAATCGCTTACTTAAGAATTGCCGGACGGAACTCTGTTTCCGCTATTCGCCGGGCGCTGATGTCATCCTGACGTCCGCACCCTTATTTCCTTTTTTTCGTGAATTTTAAATATATTTCCTTTTTTTTCTAGTATAAAATTCGTAAGAAAATCGTATTCATTGAGAAAAATTCTGAATAATTACCAGATATTATATTACATCCCTATGATTGACCTGGAAAATTATCGCTATTTTTAGAATTTTTATTGAATTATAATTGATATATTTTTTTAGAAATACTTCTAAATATCTAAAAATTCGTATTTTCTAGTTTTATAAATTTTATATTTGCGTGATTTATTATATAACGACTGAGTCACGTCAGGGACCCATCTCTATTAGCTTAGGAGACACTAGCAGTTTGAGTTCAGCCTGATCGACATGCAAAGATGAAGGAGCCTGGCTTTCGCTACATGGCCTAGCCCTTCGGGACAATGACATTCCACCTCTACAATGACGACGAGCTTGAGCTCACCCTTATCTTTCTTTGTATTTTCACATTGACTTGTTGGGCCTCACGTTTGTGTGTTAGCAGGCCTAATTCTATGTGTGTGTGTTGTTGTTTGTGTCTCCCTTTCTTTAGGGTTTTATTGGGTCTCTCTTTTGAGGCCCAATTAAAATCCTAAGGGGGGGGGGACCTATGTGTCTTTCCTTTTGGGCCTCTTTTAGGGCTTAGTTGGGTCTTCATTTGAGGCCTACTTAAGCACCATAAGAGGGCCCTCCTCTTTCTCCTTTTAGGGAGCTTATTGGGTCTCTCTTTAAGAGGCTCAATAAGCCCCTTTTGTAGCCTTTGTGGCTTATGGGCTTGAGGGCCTCAAGTGGGCCCACCTCCCCTTAGCCCACTTGTAGGCCCCATATAAAGGGAGGTAGGACCCCCCCTCAAGTGAGTGCCATATTTTTGAGAGAGATTATCGTTTTGGTGAGTACCTTCTCCGTGATCTAGGATAGGGAGGGAAGGAGGAGGAGGAAGGCCATCGATACCCCCTTCGAGGACTTTGTTCCTCGTGACGCTGCTGCCTGAGAAGTCCCACCGCTGCTTGAGACCACTGCCGCCGCCAGCCATCTCATTACCGCTCGGGAGTTTGCCACTGTCACCAGACGAAACGGTCGCGGTTGTCGATGCAGCTGCCGCCGCCTCTGTTGGAACCCCGTCATGTCGTCGCGACGAAAGGGGCTTGCTTCGCCTCCCTACGAGCCGTCGCTGAGCACTCCGCCGGAGTCTCTCGACTCCTGGTTTGTCTGCCACCTCTTCCTCCGGAACTCCACCATAAACTCACCAGAGCCGCCCTCTGCCGCTCTGCCCAGTCGCTGGCTGTTCGCCGACGAACGCCTACCTGCTGCCGACATCAGGAGAGATCCTGCAGCCGTGCCGATGAGCCAGAACCAGTACCAGCTCCTCATAGGCCCCCATCAGAGTTTCCCAAAGCTCTGCCACCGTCATGCCATTTCCGGTGTCACTTAGATCAGGAGAGCTCAACCCTCCCTAGTATCATCGGCCAGATAGTCTCCTCTTTGCTCTACTTCCCGGCGCCACCAGAGAGGCCGATCCTTCCGGCGACGGTTGGGTTTTCACCCCAATCGCTGACGCTCGGCCTTCTCGCCAAAGTGCTGCTAACGCTCGGCATTCCTACCGAAGCACCGCAGATGCTCGGCCTTCTCGCCGAAGTGCTGCCGCCACGCGCACCCTGCGCGCCAGCTCCTGCGTGCCATAAGGCCGCCGCGTGGCTTGCCTTTCGTGCCTGCTAGCGTGCCCTTCAGCCCACCAGTGGACCCACGCTCACTAGTGTACCCTTTGGCCCACCAGTGGGCCCACGCTCGCACCGACCGTGCCACGCCTTACGACGACAGCTACGGCAACTCTCGACCAGGACCAACCGTTGACACTAAGCATCGCTCTTCACTGGACATCCTTGCCTTCATCGGATCTCCACTCCGTCATGACCCGCCAGGTTATGCAGCCCCAAAGGTTAGCTCCGTACCCCTTCTTACTTAAGTTTAATTATCTTTCGAAGGGTTTTTCTCGGCTTATTTCTACCACCGTCAGGAGCACATAGATAAGATAGGACAAGTTACCAGATCGTGACTTCCGACGCTATGTTAGACTCGTCACAATTTATGAGCTGTAGCCCTAGGCTACTTCACGACGATAGTTCTGCCATCTTGGGATCTCTCACACTTACCATCGTCGAGTGTTTCCCTAGGTTGTCCTAAGTTGATAGTGCATATTGATATGCCTACCTGTACTTAGAGTACATGGTCAGACCTAGAGTCTAGGGTCCATACATTCTTATCGGATCGGTCTAACTGCCCCATCTTGGGACTTGAGTTTCATTGATCAGGTACAAAGGTTCTCGCTCTGTCCTACATCAATTGATTAATTTATCGTAAAACTAATTTAGTTTATATATAAAGTGAATTAAATATTTTATTATTATTAATAAAAATAATAAAATAGAATAGTGATGTGAGAAAAATAAAGGAAGGGAAGTAGAGAAAGAAAAGTGGAAAAGAGAGAGAGAGAAGAGAGAGAGAAGAGAAAGGGTGAAATCTCACATGAGATGGAGAGAGAGAAGAGAGAGAGAAGAGAGGAGAAAATCTCATGTGAGATAGAGAGAGAGAAAGGTTTCACAAGAGAGAGAGAAGAAAGAGAGAAGAGAGAAGGAAATCTCACATGAGACAAAGAGAGAGAAAGGTCTCACAAGAGAGAAAGGGAGAGAGAAGAAGAGAGAGGGAAATTGATCAATAGAGAGAAAGAGAAGGAAAGATCTCATGAGAGATAGAGAGAGAAGAAGTAGTCTTACGAGAGAGGGAGAGAGAGAAATAAGAGAATAATAAGTAAAGAGAGAAATACGGTTAACTTATTTTCATGGTGACCATTATTCTTGGATGAATGTATGCTCTAGAATTTGAACACTTGATATAAGGTCAGTCGTGAATATCTCCACATTATTTTAATAGTTCAACATTAAGTAGCCTTTAATCTCATTGTGAAAATAGAGGAATAATCGTTATTCGTGAAATATTGAGAAAATAAATATGTCTAGATTTAATTGCAAAAATTAATAAAAAATAAGTTAAAATAATCTTAGCTTAATCTCAAATGAGTTTTGAAAGATTCAAAAGAAGAAATCATTGTCCAAGTTAGTTTGCCTCTTGGGTAACTAGAGACACTAGTGTGATGACTTCATTTCATTCAAACATGCTACACCACATTAGAAGTCACAAAAGTATTATCTAGAAGTGTTGTACCACTTGTTGGAGAGAGATCTACCAAAAGAGGGGTCAACCATAGTGTCATCGTCATCTTGGGGGAGAAGGGAAGAGCTCACCACTCACTAGAGGCCATGAGTGTAGTCAGGGGAGGAAAGAATGAACTTGTTGATCGTCAAAGATGTTGATCACACAAAAAGAGGGGGGAAATAGATTGCCATATTTATGACTACCATCAAGATTTTAAAGATAATTGATAATATTTGCTTTCCAAATATTAATTGATTATTGTCTTTATATCCTAATAGTGATACATGCAAGAAGTTAAGTTCTCAATATCGTGGTGCTTTGGGAGCCACTAGATCAAATGTGCTTGGTCATGTGGCGTGCTAAGCGACACAAGATCAACCCACCACAAATTTCTGTTGACCAAGAACTTAAGTTCCTAGTACTGTGACGACTCCTTAGTCATCGAATCATCCTTTAAAATCACATGCGTAAGTAATATCAGATTTGTGAACCACTGATGGATTACTTTACATAGTTAGTATTGTGATGGCTCGCCCACCATAGGATCTAACTTATTTGATGATGTGGCTCGCTGAATATCGTTGAATCACACCGCACTCTAGATGGCTAAACTAATACACTCGAAAACATTTAGTCTCACATTGAAAATATTTCGCCACATGAGCAAAATATAAATCAAAGCTATGGTCTCTCATTAGAGATCTCTTCTCCTAAAATAAAATAATGCACAAGACTATCTTGGGAGAAGGCAAAAGGGTGGTCTACCCTAATGTGTGCACGTGTGTACAAATACTCCTTGCTCCACTATTGGTTGGGCACTAGGAGGTGGCAGGGGAACAATAGACATGCACATGGAGCTGAGTCCTTCACCACTCAAGCCTAGCTCATGGCTACCCTAGTTTGGATCTACCCACTCAACTGCAACACACTCTTATTGGTCAGTTGCCGAGTGCTGGCTTGCCAACAAGTAGAATATATTTTTTATTTTTTATTTTTTTATTTTATATTTTAAAATAATCTAAAATTATGCTAATTATTTTAACTTCAGACTTCTAAAATTAACAATATATCCTATATTTATTATGTAAGTTAAAAAAATAAATTCAATTAATAAAAGTAATCAAAACACAAAAATCTAGCTTTAATAGAGACCCTTGTGAATAGAAAGAGCAAAATTGATCTTAGCAACACTATAAAACTTCCATATCAAAAATTATATAGAAGCGTACATGATCTTTGTTGTGTTTAGTGGGAAATATACTTGATATAATGCCTTTCAATATGCATGGTTTCAAAATGACTTGACAAAATCAGAATTGATTGTAATTAAAAGAATATTTAGATACATTACATGCACACGTGATTTAGGAATTTGATTTTCTAAAAGTGTATTACAAAACTAGTTGCATACTAGATAATCCTTCTTTCACTGAAGATTTTAATTCACAAGAAAAGTACAAATAGGTTGTGCTTTATCTCAAAAGGATGCTAGGTTTCTTAGGCATCTAATAAACAAACAACAATTGAATTGTTCATAGCTGAATCTAATTATACAGCTACAAGATTTAGTTGACTACATGTCTTTTAAGTGAAATTAAAAATAAAATATTACAAAATAAACTTAAAAATAATCCCAATTATGTTTTATAAAGAAAGAGGATTAATTTAGCTAAAATTTCATTTATACACTATAGGATGAAACACAAATACTAGGCACATCATTTGATTAGAGATATTTTGAATACAAATAATATATGTCAAATTTTAATGATATTGAATATCAATTAACCATTATTTTCACTAAATCTTTGATAACATAAAGTTTGTTAGCATAAGATAGCGAAAAGGTTTATGATTCAAATTAAATTTGCATGAATAAATTATTTATAATCTTTTGTTGAAATATTTTCATGATTTATTGAAACTTTAAATTAAATGATTTGTGAATTATGTACTGATTAGATTTGACTTTTTAATTGCCTAAATTATGGACTATGGTCATTAATTTGGAGCGTTGTTTTCTGTGATTTATAGGTATGAACAGAAAAAAGGATTTTTTAGTTACTGGTAGAAATTTTAAAAAGGAAAAGCAGAACTGAAATAAATATTTGTCGTCTGGTTACACCAGGTTACCGTCAGAAACGTACCTACCACGCATCTTTCAGAAAGAAAAAAAAAGTAGTTGGGCTACAACGCATCATCGTGCCTACCGTTAAATCTAGGCCACACGTCGTACCTATAACACACCGTTCCCAACGTGGAACCATAAGACGAGCAGTTGACCTCGGCACTCTTGCCCGCCATTTACATGATCCTCTTCCTGCCCATTAAATAGACGCGATGGCATCAACATCGCTTCCAGAGACTCTTGGAAGTGCACAGCGCTACGGTCGCCTCTCTCTCCCAAGAGAAAAAGGAGCATCATGTCCACCATGGTTATGACGGCTGGCTCCGGGGCTCTCCCCGGACCAGCAAGAGTAGAGAGCTTGGCGGCCAGCGGCATCGCCACCATTCCCGCCGAGTACGTCCGATCGGAGGACGAGTGCGCTAGCCTCGCTGATGCGCTTGACGCAGCCAAGAATTTGGATGCTGGGCCACACAGATTCCAACGGTGGATCTCGCCAAGATCCGGTCCACGAACGAAGAGGAGCGACGCAGCTGCGCGGAGGTCGTGCGGGAGGCGGCGTCGAACTGGGGGATGATGCAGATTGTGAACCATGGCATCCCGCAGGAGCTGATCAAGCGCATGCAGGAGGCCGGGGAGAGATTCTTCTCGCTGCCAATAGAGGAGAAGGAGCGTTACGCCAATGACCAGTCGTCGGGGAATATCCAAGGCTACGGCAGCAAGCTCGCAAACAATGCCAGCGGCCGGCGAGCGTGGCAGGACTACTTCTTCCACCTCGCCTACCCAGAGGAGAAGGCCAACTACTCCATCTGGCCGAAAGAGCCCGCCAACTACGCGTAACGATCTCCACGTCCTCCTCTGGCTCTCTCTTTTTTTTCTCTTTATTTCCTTGGTTTCAATGAGTTGAGTGTCATTCTCTTCCGCCTCCATTACTGCTTACAGTGAGGAGACGAAGGAATTCGTACGGCAGCTTAGGCCAGTGGTTAGCAATATATTGGCCATTCTATCCGCGGGGCTCGGCCTAGAGGAAGGCAAGCTGGAGGAGGAGGTGGGCGGGATGAGTGATCTCCTTCTGCAGATGAAGATCAACTACTACCCGCCTTGCCCACAGCCAAACATGGCCGTGGGTGTGCCGGCCCACACGGATGTGGGCGCCCTTAGCTTCATCGTGCACAACATGGTTCCCGGCCTTCAGGCCTACTATGCAGGCGAGTGGGTGACGGTCGGATGCGTTCCAGACTCCATCATCGTGCACGTCGGCGACGTCATCGAGATCCTCAGCAACGGGAGGTACAAGAGCATCCTTCACCGTGTCCTCGTCAACAGGGAGAAGGTCCGCATCTCCTGGTCTGTTTTCTGCGAGCCGCCGCCAGATAAGATCATCCTCAAGCCCTTAGACGCGCTTGTTCACGAGGGGTCGACGGCTAAGTTCCCGCCTCGCACGTTCGCCCAGCACATTGACCATAAGCTCTTCCTGAAGAGCGAGGGGCCACAGTCCACACCCAAATAGCCGATAACATCTCGAATCAGGTACACCGGAGCAATAAATATCTCCAATAAGATGGTTGGTGATGTCCCCGGTCGGTGCGGTAAAAAAAGAGACTGTGCGCGAGATTAGATTACATATGCCCTGCAGGTCACCAACCGCTGTCTTAGCGTCTTCCCAAGTCATCTTTTGTTATCCCGTGTAAGAGCTCACCGCATCCGGATCAGAATCATAGTTTTACATCTTTAGAATCGCACCTCGCAATGGAAACTCATTGCTGGTGAGTCCTGATCGTTACTCCATGACTGCTAATACCTGGCGTGTTTTGTAACCATCTATTTAATGCACCTAGTCACAATAGAACGTAAACCTATCTCATGAAAGCATTTAAGACAGATTCGAGAACACCGACTTGATCTACATCAGCCGTATAGATGGAAAGATGTAAACATAATACCTTTCATTGGGCATCACATCTAGTAAGATGAAAAGATCGGACAGACCTTTCACGTTCAAGAAATTGAAAGGTGTTTTTCCCAAGATCCAATAACCGACAGTCTGAAAACCTTGGAAGTTCAACAAAAAGAAATATGCAGCCATTTTCCAACTTGTTGTGAATGTCATGGTTCCCTTTTATAAATAATAAGTTATATGGTGAACTGAAAGTTAAATAGTCCGCAAGTGACATAAATTTATGAACTTAGCGACTTAATCACTGGCCAAATCAATTTACTAATTAGGTCATCCTTTTTTTATTAGTTTTAGATAAATTAATTACTCGACTCCTTTGAGTGATTAGGTAATTGATAAATGATATTCTTATGTAAAAATAAGATAAAAGTGAGCATTATTTCATCAAGAAATAACATGAAAATTACATGTTCCATATTGATAAGAATTTATTTTCAAATTTTTTAACTGCATTTCTATTTCTAATATTTTTTCAAGTTTAATTATTTACATTCTATCTCCAAGATAAAAAAGAGATTTTGGCTATAAGAACGGATAAAATAGTCTTTACGCACTCATATACCCATCAGGAGTCGCCTAATGAGTCACGTGAATACATTGGCCACGTCTTCCCTCACTTAATGAGTCACGTGCCCGACAGGTGGAAGGAGGAAGACCGCACTTCGCTTTATCACGCTCAAATGTCCTTCCGATTTTTAGGGGAAAGCGCTTACAGGACTTCCCTCTTTATACCGCACCTCTCCCCGCTCCGTAATGGGAGAACGTGCGTCCAATCCGACGGTTCGCCCAGTCCCCTCCACAGTGAACCATTTCTCGATCCGCCTGCTGCTGGGCCGGATCCGAAAAGCTTCCAGTGTGACACCTAACCTAGGTTACTAGGTCCCCATCTACAACCGCCAATTTTTGGATATATATTTTCATGCACCTCTTCTCCCAGCTCTTCTCTTCTCCCTTCCGTTTCCCCAGCACTCTCTTTCTATTGGCGTTTCTCTCTTCTCTCTTCATCTTTTGATGTCTGACAGGTAGGAAATCATTCTCCATCGTCTTCGACGTTTTAGACTTTAGTTCCTGAGTTTTTAGTTAGTTTTCGTGACTCTCTAGCTCTCCCTTTTGCTCTTTCTCACCGGGTGACAGACGGGAAGAGTTCTTTGTTTTTCATTCAGTTCCGGCATGTTCTTCCCTTCCTCCCACTTCATCTCTATCGTTTCTTAGTATTTTGATGTTCCGAAGGTTTCATGCAGCTGTTTTGACGTTCTCAAATCCCCCGTTTTGTCCTCCAGTTTTTGTTTTCTCTCTCGTGCCGGCGTTCTCTCTTGTCGGGGACTTTTCCCCTTTTCGACAGGTTTTTCGCTTTTTCTCCCTCATTCCTCTCTTCTTTTGATGGTTTTCTCATTAGAAATTGATAGTTTGTTTCTTTTTAATAATCCTCCGTCGTTTTTATTCACCAGAAATCCTGATTTTTCTCATGCCAGCGAGAAACTTCTCTCTGGCGTGAGTTCTTCTATTTTCTTGTAAATTTTATCTTCTTTAAAATCATTTTTCCTCTTTATCTTTCATCCAAGCTTTTCCTTCGTTCCTTGGTTTCTTATCGAGTTTTCATTCTACTTTTCCTCTCTCTCGCCGGCGGAAACTCTTCTGCCGGTGAGTTTCTCTCATCTGGCCTTTTTCCTTTCTTTTCCAATGATTTTCTCATCCCCAAGATCTTCTTTTCTCCCTTATCTGTCCCTCTAGACCTTCTTCTGTGTTTTTTTAGTTGATTTCTCCTCCCCCTTCGCCAGAAATCTCTCCCGGCGGCAACCTTCCCTCCGCGAGCGAGAATTCTCTCTAGCGATTTTCTTTTTTTTTGTTTCTTTATTTCTTCCTCTCTCTCTCTCTCTCTCTCTCTCTCTCTCTCTCTCTCACGTGTCATATTTGACCAGTCAACTTCCTTTGACCGGTCGTCTCTCCCCTCTTCCCCCCTCGCACCGTTCTTCTCTCTCCTATCGTCCTCTCCCCCTGTCGCCCCTCTCTCCTGTCTCTTCTATTGCCTTAGCTCTCCTATTGCTCCTCTCTCCTCTTTCTTCCATCGTCCTCTCTCTCCTATCACCCCATTCTCCTGTCTCTTCTATCGTCATCGCTCTCATATCGCTCCTCCTCTTTCTTCCATCTTCCTTTCTCTCTATCGCCCCTCTCTCTCCGGTCTCTTCTATTGTCCTCGCTCTCCTATCGCTGATCTCTCTCCTATCGCCCCTCTCTGCTCTCTCTTATCACTTTATTCTCTCTCTCTCTCTCTCTCTCTCTCTCTCTCTCAAGCATAAACTTGCGTGAGATGAGATTCTTCTTGAACCTTTATTTTTATTCTTAATTAACTTTTTGTGTATTTTTTTATTTATTTAAGAAAATAATTTGTTTTAAATATTTTCATTTAATTATTCTAGAAAATATTAACCTTTCCAGAACACCAGATTTGTATTAAAAGTAAATTAAATCACCCATCTGGATTTGACCTACACTCATGTAAGATTTTCTAGTTATATTTAGATAGTCAAATAATAAATTTAAAATTGAGTGCATTGTTATATCTACAATGATTAGTGTGCATTAGTTATCTCTTTTTGTAATTAAAAAACAAGCATTCAATTTTATCATGTTTACTTACCACACCAGCATAACCTCCACTAAATTTTAGAGAGACAGATAGTCACAACACTTGTGTTACATATCCTTTTGATTGAAAATTTTAGAAGACTTGGAAGCTAAATTTCTAGCTTCTGTCTACTAGTGTTATATAAATGATATTTCTTTTCAGTTTGCACAACTATATTATCTTTTGCAGCTTGCACTTTCATTTATTGCCAAGGAGGTATGAATTTGAAAGTTTAAGTTGACCTCATGTACAAAGAAGTTTTCCTCTAAAATGTAAATAATTTAAATTAGTATATTTATATATGGTTAATGCATTAGATTTTATCCTAGGTGTCATTAGGCCTACATTCTTCTCAATCAAAGAAGATACTTAGTATTGTTTCATCTGAATTGTGGCTCAATGTATAGAGAGTTGTCTTTGCTAGGAATTTGGTGCTAAACAATTTATTGCTAGCAGTATCTTAATGAAAATGGATGAAGAGAGATGATGAGTGAATGATGAGTGGGATTGTAGACATGAGAGTGAAGATGCTAGATCTGATTTATTAGATTCAGTGGAAATAGAGGTAGGAAATTCTTGTCACCGTAATCTAATTCTAAATGTAATATAATGCTAATTTTAGACGAAATTCTAACCAAAAATAAATCAAAATGTCACTCACCTCAAAACTAACTTGATATCACTGCTCCTTCCTCTCTATTCTTCACTGGGAATAAGCACTCACTTGAATTAGTTGGAGTGATCTCATTCAGGCAAGATGTGCTTCGATTCTCATCTAGACACACCTTCATTCTTACAATGTGGAGTGATAAGTCTTCATTATCATGAGTTAATAATTAGTAAATAATATAGTTTTAGCCTTAACTCATGATAAATAGACTTATATTTGTGTTAAAGAATGATTTGTGATTTTCAGTTGATTAATGTGAATTTTTAGGTAATTATGTTATTTTATATGATTTTTACAGTCTTACTTTTGAGATAAATGAAGAACAAGAAATAAAAATAAAAAATATTACAAAATAGGGGGACCCGCCAGCTAGCTAGGCCCACAAGCAGGTCAAAAGCGCAGTCAGAGAGTAGCCACGAGCAGGCACTCGAGCAGCTTAGCTTGGACCAATAGGGGCACGTGTGCGCCACTCTCCTTCCACGTCACCGGTGGCCACTTGACTGTGGGGCAAGGAGTGGTCGTACATGCAAGAGAAGGGACTTTGCTTACAAAGCTAACATTACTATATATTCGCCTGAAAAATCGGCGCACAACTAATGTGGGATTAAACCCACATCACACCTTCCTCACAGGCGGGCAACCGACACAAGTTCAAATCCTTCCAGAGTCAAAACTTATATATTTTTATCTGATTATCGTGACTTTCCTACAGATCGCCGGTGAAGGATTAAGCAACGAGAATTGCTGGATCATCGGTGAAAATCTCGTCAACATGATTCGCAGAGCATTACTACTAAAATTGCTGAACGATTCGCGATAAAAGGATTGCGAATCCATCGAGTAAATCATCTCCGATTGATTGATGAACAAGCCATTGTCGGGAAGAGGACGATCTGCCGAGAGATGAGTCGCCACCTCCTAAGAGTGTACCAGATGCAATGAAGAGCTTCCTCTTGCTGCGCAGACTTGAGGATGAAGCTCCCTGACACGCGCCCCACCTCCATCTAGCTCCTCTCCGTCGAGTGACGGCCGCTAGAGAGCCACAAAGTCGCCATTTTTCCGCTCTGCCGGGTGACAGCCGCCGAAGACGATTCGACGACCCACTTCATTGATCTCTAGACTTCACGAGAAGATCTAGAGATTGCCCATGTCGTCTTTATCCAAGGAGAGCCTTCGAGGTTGTGGACACTGCACGACGATCCTCTTAAATGCTCAAGATTCCGATGCATCGTCAACCCATCACCGACGCATCGCCGTCGCAATGCCGGAACTCTATTTTCCGGCTTTCAATTTACTTTACACTTCATTTAGTGATAATTTTTGTGATTTAAATTTACCAAAATATACTTTTGTTCTATTACGATTCTTCTAACTTTTATAGATCTTAATTTGATCAATTAAATCATCTGTAATCGCTTATGTAAGAATCACCGGACGGAACTCTATTTTTGCCCGATTCACGCTTGCCGGGCGCTGATGTCATCCTAACATCTGCACCCTTATTTCCCTTCTTCATGAATTTTAAATATATTTCCTTTTTATTTCCTAGTATAAAATTCCTAGAAAATCGTATTCATTGAGAAAAATTCTGAATAATTACCAGATATTATATTAAATCCCTGTGATTGACTTGGAAAATTACTGCTATTTTTAGAATTTCTATTGAATTATAATTGATATATTTATTTAGAAATACTTCTAAATATCTAAAAAGTCGTATTTTCTAGTTTTATAAATTTTATATTTACGTAATTTAATATACAACGACTGAGTCACATCAAATTTTTGCATCGTTGCCGGGGATGTATTGCATAGTATTTAGTATTTTTCTATTTTTCTCTTAGAGTACACAAAAAAAACTTTACTCTTGTTTTATTTTCTTTTTGCCGATTTTTATTAGAAAAAGGGAACGAAAAGAAGCACGGCAAGGACTGGAGCATCCTGAAGGAGGGTAAAAGTTACTAACTTTTTCCTTCAAATTTATTGATTTTTATGCATGGTAGAAGATCCTTTCATCTAAGGCTAGAAAATCTTTTCATTATTTCATTCAAAAATAAAAATCCGAAAGAAAAATTAATTTTGATGGATCTTGAAGGAAGTACAGGTCAAATTGAGAACAATCCTATGGCCATGAAAAATCATTATATCCGTGATTCATTTCAAAGAGCATCTAATATTAGAGTCCCATTAGCACCCACTGTTAAATTCGAAATAAATCTAGGAATTTTTCAAATGCTCCCTAATTTTCATGGATTGCCTTTAGAGGAACCTCATCAACACTTGGAAAAATTTCATATGGTCTGTGATTTAGTTAATCTCACTCAAGTTACACCGGAAATTATTAAGATGAAATTATTTCCTCATACACTTAGGGACAAAGCTAGTCATTGGCTATCCACATTAGATAGAGAATTAACTAGCTGAAAAGATATAGAATAGACCTTTCTTCGAAAATTTTATCCCTTAGGAAAACTCAAAATATGAGAAAACATATATGGAGTTTTTCTCAAAGACCAGGAGAAACTTTATACGAGATATGGGAAAAATTTAAAGATTTACTTAGAAAGTGTCCTCATCATGCTATACCCAAGTGGCAGCTCAATAGAGTTTTTTATGATGGATTATTAGAACAACATAGAAATATGGTTGACTCTATATGTGGAGGAGCTTTTATGGAGAAAACTCCTGATGAGATTTACAATCTTTATGAGAATTTAAGTGAAAATTCTATAGATCAAGCCTCTTTTGAATTATATGACAGAGATAAGAAGAGAGGAATTTATGAATTGCATCATGATGATGATTCTAAACTTAAAAATGAGGTTAATTAGATTAATCAAAGATTAGAAAAAATTAATTTACTTATTCACAATATTAGAAAGTCTTTTAGCCCTCAACTTAATTCGAATAGTACATGTCCTATGTATGGTGAACATGATTATTCTGAATTTCAATGTTATAATTTAGATCAATTATTTCATCCTATACAAGAACAAGTGCAAGTAGCTCACGGTTTTAATAGAAATAAGGAACCTTTTTCAAATTCTTATAATCCTAATTGGAGGAATAATTTTTCATGGAGAGACTCAAGTAACATTAAAAATCCAGAAGTACTTAGACCCAATTCAAACTCTGAATTTCGTCCAAAATAAGAAAACAAATTTCAGAAAAATGAGCCCTCTCAAACCCAACCTAATGCTATACAAATGATGTAGCAAATGAGCCAAATGATGCAACAAACTATGAATCAAATGATGCAAAAAACTATGAATCAAATGATGCAGAACTAGAAACAAATTATAGAGGCCCTTAAAAATAAGAGAGAAGAGAGACAACTACCTAGTTAGCCCATAGAAAATCTAGGGAACCGCCCAACAATAGGATTTCAGTAAGAGGAGTCTAGTAGCATGAATCTAGGAAAAAACCCACGAAATAAAAATATTAGGATAGTGAATGTATTAAGGAGTGGTAAGATCTTACTTGATCCTTATTCCCAAACATTGGAAGAAAAAAAAAATGTGGACAACCCAAAACAAAATCAAATAGGAGTAGAAGAGGATTTTATAGATTCTACCAAAGAAATTTTGAAAGAGAGGACAACCATTCCATTTCCTAAAGCTCTAGAGCCTAGACAAAGAAAGAAAAAGGAACACAATGAAGAAATAAAGAAAATTTTACAAGTTGTGCAAATTAGTCTTCCTTTACTTACTGCCATTGAACATATTCTTAAATATGCTAGAGTTTTGAAAGAAATGTGTACACCAAAAAGGGCACATAGAGTAGAAAAATTATCTATGCATGCTAGTGCATTATTATTAAATCAATTACCATTTAAATTGAGAGATATAGGTTCCCCTTTAATTTCGTGTGATATTGGTGGATTCATTTTTCAGAATGCATTACTTGACACCGGTGCTAGTATTAATTTATTACCTACAAGTATTTGTGATAAATTTAATATTTCTGATCTTAAACCTTCTACTATTACCTTAAAATTTGCTGATAGATCCATAAAACATCCTAAAGGTATTTTAGAAAATATGATATTGACAGTTAAAGGGTGTAAATTTTCAGCTGATTTTGTAGTGCTGGAAATGGATTTTAATGGACAGTTTTATGATACACCAATCATCCTAGGGAGACCATTTTTGCATACAACAAAGATGAATATTGATTTTTCCACAGGTATTGTGAAAATTTCATGTGGAGATCAATTAGTAAAAATTAAAATTTTGAGGTATCAAATGATCTTAAGAAATCCCAAGTATATGATTGTCATACCATAGATCTTCTAGATGATTTTGATGATCCAGATGTTATTGATGACTGTGTGCTAGAAGAATTAGAAGAAATAGAGAATATAAATTTAGAAGAAAAGAAAGAGGAAGATCATTTGAATTTAGAGTTGAAACCTCTTCCCTCTAGTTTAAAATATATGTTTTTGGAGGAAAATAATTCATTTCCTGTTATTATTGCAGCTGATTTGAGTGATGAACAAGAAGAAGAATTATTAGATGTACTTCGAAAAAATAAGAAGGTTATGGGCTGGAAAATGGATGATCTAAGGGGCATTGATATGAGTGTATGTATGCATAGTATATATTTAGAGGAGGGGGCTAGAACTAGCAAGGAACCACAATGAAGATTAAATCCTAACATGATGGAAATAATAAAAAAAGAAATTTTAAAGTGTCTGGTTGTTGATATTATTTATCCTATTTCAGATAACAAATGAGTTAGTCCTACACAAGTAGTGCCAAAAAATCAAGGATCACGGTTATAAAAAACAAAAATGGGGATGAAATACAAACAAGACTAACTACTAGTTGGAGAGTTTGCATTGATTATAGAAAATTAAATTCAATTACTAGAAAAGATCATTTTTCCCTATCATTTACTGATCAAATTCTAGAAAAATTAGCTGGAAAAAACTTTTTTGTTTTCTAGATGGATATTTTGGTTATAATAAAATTTATATAAACCCTTTAGATCAAGAAAAAATAACTTTCACTTGTCCATTTGGTACTTTTGCTTTTAAACGCATGCCTTTTGGTTTGTGTAATGCTCCAGCCACATTTCAAAGATGTAGGCTGTCTATTTTTTCTAATATGATTTGAAAATACATGGAAATTTTTATGGACAATTTTTCTGTTTTTGGTGAATCATTTGATGAATGCTTAAATCATTTACAGCATGTACTTGAGAAATGCATAGAGAAAAAATTAGTTTTGAGTTAGGAGAAATCACATTTTATGGTTAAAGAGGGAGTTGTGTTGGGTCATATTGTGAGTGAAAAGGGTTTAGAGGTGGATAGAGCAAAAATTGATATTATATCTAAAATGAAACCTCTGAATTCAGTAAAACAGATTAGATCTTTCTTAGGTCATGCAGGTTATTACAGAAAATTTATTCAAGATTTTTCAAAAATTTCTAAACCTCTCACCATGCTATTATCTAAAGATGTGCCTTTTAATTTTGATGAGAAATGTTTTGAGTCTTTTTTTGAAATAAAAAGATTACTTACTGAGGTACCCCTTTTACAAACTCCTGATTGGTCCCTTCCCTTTGAAATAATGTGTGATGCATCGAATTATGCAGTGGGGGCCATTCTAGGACAAATAAAAGAGTCAAAACCCATAGTAATTTCATATGCTAGTAAAACTATATCCGATGCTCAATTAAATTATACCACGACTGAAAAAGAGTTGTTAGCTGTAGTATTTTTATTAGAAAGTTTTAGATCATATATTTGGGAGCTAAAATTATTATTTATACTGATCATGCAGCATTAAAATATCTATTAAATAAGAAAGATGCAAAGCCACATTTATTAAGATGAATTTTATTGTTGCACGAATTTGACTTAGAAATAAAAGATAAAAAAGGTTTCGAGAATGTTGTTGCTGACCATCTTTCTAGATTAAGTGATACAGGAATAAAGGCAGCACCTTTACAAGACGCATTTCCAGATGAACAATTGATGGCAGCTCAACATCAACCATCACCATGGTATGCACATATTGTTAATTTTCTGGTTTCTGGAAAAACTCCAAAATAGTGGGATAAGAATAGAAAATATCATTTCTTTTCTAAGATTAGAAATTATTTTTGACATGATCTTGATTTATATTACTTCGACAATGATCAAATTTTAAAGAGATGTGTTCTTGAAGAAGAATATCATATCATTATTAACATGTGCCATTCATCTAACTGTGGAGGACATTTCTTTGGACGAAAAATAGCTGCAAAATTTTTTCAGTGCGGTTTTTATTGGCCTACAATTATTAGAGATTCTATAGAATTTAGTAGAACATGTATTTCATGCCAATCTATAAGTAACATGAGTAAAAAAGATGAAATGCCCATGAGTAACATGTGAGTAATCAAAATTTTTGATGTATGGGGAATAGATTTCATGGGTCTCTTCCCATCAGCTGAAAAATATGAATATATTTTGCATGCTGTTGATTATGTGTCGAAGTGGGTAGAAGCTATTCCTACTAGAACTAATGATCATATAATCGTGATGAAATTTGTGTAGGAAAATATTTTTTCGAGATTTGGATGTCCTAGAGTGATTATTAGTGATGGAGGAACACATTTTACAAATAAACATTTCAGGGAACTGTTGAAAAAGAATGGAGTACACCATAGAGTAGCCACTCCATATCATCCCCAAATAAATGGGCAAGCTGAAGTAGCAAATAGGGAAATTTAGAGAATTTTGAGAAAAATAGTTAGACCAGATAGGAAAGATTGGCCCACGAAATTACAAGATGCATTATGGGCTTATAGAACAGCTTACAAAAATCCCATAGGTATGTCCCCATTTCGTCTCATTTTTGGAAAGCCATGTCATCTTCTTGTGGAAATAGAGCATAAAGCATTATGGGCTATAAAAAATTTATGTATGGATGAGAAATCAGCTGGTGGGCATAGAATTTTTCAGCTACATGAACTAGAGGAGTTGAGGAATGAAGCTTATGAAAATCATAGAATATATAAAGAAAAAACTAAAACTTTCCATGATAAATACATTAGCAGAAAAAAAATTTGATGTTGGACAAAAAGTGTGGTTATATGATTCTAGGCTGAAATTATTCTCAAGAAAATTAAAATCAAAATGGAAAGTGCCTTATGTGGTGGAAGAGACATATGATCATGGGGCTATAATGATTAAAGATCCTAAAAGTGATCATAACTTTAAGGTAAATGGACAGCGGCTTAAACATTACATAGAACATGAACGCCTTGCAGAAAAAGAAATTTTATTATTAAAAAAATTTCAAGAGTAAGACCAAGGAGTCCAGCTGGAGACATTAAATTCAGCGCTACATGGGAGGCAACCCATGGTTTTTATTTCCATTCTATTTGATTTGTTTTTAAGCTCTGTTTTTCTTAGAATTTTGCAGTACTTATTTCTATCTTTGTTTTTTTTCGAAAAAGTGTAGGAGGAGGAGTGTAAGATGAAGTGGAAAATTAAAAACGAGGTTGAGGTGATGTCTTTCTGAGCTTCATCATTTATGAAAATATTTTTAATACTTAACTTTGCAGATATACATACTTCACTCGAAAATTATATTTTCTGCATATTCTGTTTTGAGTTTTCTATGTCATTGAGGACAATGTCATTTTTAAGTTGGGGGGTAAAGTATTCATTATTAATTTATGCTGTAGGACGATTAAGAACATGTGTTTGCATTTTATTCAACTTAGAACAACAACTAAAAAAATAAAAATAAAATAAAATTCAGAAAAATTGCAACATCTATTTTCTAGTTTTCTATCGGAAACAACAAACTGTCAAAAATAGCAGACAAAAAATAGCCCAAAATTTGAAATTCTAGAAGACCCTTTTCTCACATTTCAATCCCCTAGATATATATTACTGAAATTCAAAATTACAGCTATAAAGAAGATAGTTTTGATTTATTTTTAACAAATTTATTGCAGCTAAAAATAGAACTGAAAATAAAAAACGAAACTGTTAGAACTATCTAATTTACAAATTCTTTGCATCATACTACATGCATGAAAAATTAAATCAATTAGATTGATTGATACCAAAAGATACTAGGAAGATTATTATTGAGTCAAAAGAATGATTTAGTAGCATGAAATGTTGGAATACTCCTTAGATACATGATAGATAACATGGATTTGATTTTATAGATTTTCACTTCATGATCTTGATGGATAGTGACGTGACTCAGTCGTTCTATATTAAATCACACAAATATAAAATTTATAAAACTAGAAAATATGAATTTTTGGATATTTAGAAGTATTTCTAAATAAATATATCAATTATAATTCAATAAAAATTCCAAAAATAGCGGTAATTTTCCAAGTCAATCACAGGGATGTGATATAATATCTAGTAATTATTCAAAATTTTTCCTCAATGGATATAATTTTCTTAAGAATTTTATACTAAGAAATAAAAAGGAAATATATTTAAAATTCATGAAAAAAAGGAAATAAGGGTGCGGGTGTTAGGATGACGTCAGCGCCCGGTGAACACGAATCAGGCGGAAACAAAGTTCCGCCCGGCGATTCTTACGTAAGCGATTACAGACGACTTAATTAATCAAATTAAGATCTGTAAAATTTGGAAGAATCGTAATTGAACGAAGTATAGTTTGGTGAATTAAAATCAAACAAAGTATCACTAAATGAAGCGTAAATTAAATTGAAAGTAGGAAAAATAGAGTTCTGGCGTTGCGACGGCAATGTGTCGGCGATGCACTGAAATCCTGAGCGTTCGGGAGGATCGTCATGCAGTGTCCACGGCCTCGAAGGCTCTCTTTGGACAAAGACGACGTGGGCAATCTCTAGATCTTCTCGCGAAGTCTAGAGATCAATGAAGTGGGTTGTCGAATCATCTCCGGCGGCTGTCACCCGGCGGAGCGGAAAAACGGCGACTTTGCGGCTCTCCGGCGGCCGTCACCCAACGGAGAGGAGCTGGATGGAGGTGGGGCGCGTGTTAGGGAGCTTCATCCTCAGGTCCGCACAGCAAGAGGATTCATCGCATCTGGTACACTCTCAGGAGGTGGCGACTGGTCTCCCGGCGGATCGTCCTCTTCCCGACGACGACTTGTTCGTCGATCAATCGAAGATGATTTACTCGATGGATTCGCGATCCTTTTATCGCGAATCATTCAGCAATTTTAGTAGCAATGCTCCGCGAATCGCGTTGATGAGATTTTCGCCAATGATCTAGCGATTCTTGTTGCTTAATCCTTCACCGGCGATCTGCAGGAAAGTCGCGATAATCAGATAAAAATATATGAATTTTGACTCTCGGAGGATTCGAACCCGCGCCGGTCGCCCCGGGGTTTAGTCCCACATCGGTTGTACGCCGAGTTTTCGGGCGAATATATAGTAATGTTAGGTTTGTGAGCAAAGTCACTTCTCTCGCGTGTACGACCACTCCTTGCCGCACAGCCGGCTGGCCACCGGTGACGAGGAAGGGGAGCGGCGAACGTGCATGCCCTGTTAGTCCCCAAGCCAAGCCGCTCGAGCCCCTGCTCGCGGCTTACTCCCCCCCCCGACTGCGCTTCTGACCCGCTTTCGGGCCCGGCTGGCCAGTGGGTTCCCTCATTTTTGGAATATTTTTATTTTTATTTGTTCTTCATT